GGTGACTATTTATTAACATCTTTAGTAATTATGCATGGCAGATTTCATGAGAACACAATCATACATCTTGTGTAAATTAATGCCCTCAATAAAACCTGCCCAGGCTTATGCAGTTAGCTGCTTCATTAAAGTGTGTTTCTCCCGTTAAAATGTTTAGCTATTGCAGGCATATGCCCCTTCTCAGGCACAGGCTGTGCATGTTTTCTGTGCTTGTTCTGCATGAGAAACTCTCATTGACCCAAATAAGGGCTCAGTGCACGGGCCATATGCTAAGAATATGGAAATTGCTTTGAGAATATGTTGAACTTCCATATCCCCATTATAACCACAGTATGGGTGTCACTGCTGTATGGTCTTTTGCAAATGGATAAAACTTCATCATTGAAGTCAGTGGAAGTTTTTTCTCTGAATAAAATGAGATGATGGTTTCAAGCCCATTGCCCCTTGGGCTGCTCTCAGCTGCCTTTGATTCCTCTGACCAAGGGTATTGTGCACAGTCTTATGGTCTCTTCTGGGATCAGATATCCCCAGGGAAGGATCCTTTGCGTCTATCTGGAAGGATCCCAAAATACTGCCAAGTCATTTCTCTTGTCTTCAATGTTCTCCTGTTTCCCGGAGAGTACATTAAAGTTTGGGGTGAAGCCTTTCCTGAGTGCCTGATTAGGTGCAGCCCTAATACTGAATAACTCAGGCAAAGTAACTAAGTGCATAACAATATAGGATTTATTTCACCTCCCTTTCCCTGTCTCAAAGTTAAGCACCTTATGTGAGTCAGTTGGGTAAGTCTCTGTATAAGTGAGGAGAAATAAGCACCACCTCAGGGTTATTCAACCCGTTTTTAGCTAAGAATATCAGAACATAGACATTTTCTAATGTAGAAATTTTCATCTGGATGTACAATTATTCAGCTCAGAAATTACTTCAGATACTACCTTAGAAAAGCAGACTTGGCGTAGCTGAATAATAATTCTCAATGCAAAAGCCTGAAAGATGTTTTCATTCAGTGACAGGCAGCAGTAGGAAGAAAGGACAGCTCTGATGTTCTCATCAACATACTGAGGCAACATACAGAGCAATAAGCGGTTGGCTGGGTAGGTTTTTTGCTTAAACCAAAATATTTTTTAAGTTCTTCTTAACATCAGGCACAAGTCCTCAGTGCCAGTGTGTGTGAAAATGTTTTTACCACTTTTCCCATTTTTTTTTAAAGGTTACCTAATTTTTTCTAGTCTTGAGGTATTTCAGATTCTTTTAATGTGTCAGGACTAAAATGTTTTCACACTTTGTATTGAAAACACTGGTTTCATTTTGTGATCTCTTCCTGAGTCTGCCATAGAAATGTTAGCAGGAAAAATTCTTTTAAACCAAATATTCACCAATTTCTTAAATTTTGTAAAATCCAATAGCTCAGTAACTCTATTTAGATTAATACTGATGCCACATGCTTTAAAGAAACGTAGGTTTACTACAGATATCATTCCTTTTCACATGACCTATTCTGCCCAGATTTCAGTTTGAATGGGCATATGAATCCTACTTTAAAAGGTATTGTTATAGCAGGCAGGGTACTGTCTTGGTATGGAGTGTTGAATCATGTCATTGTTTCTTCTTAAAAAATACCCGTGTTCTATCTCAGAGAGGGTTGCCTCACATTAAAATGATTCCTTTATAAACAGTTTGCTCTGAGTTCAGGGCAGCTCCAACCTAGAAGTTCAGCAATTTACTCTGTTTCTCCACTTTTATGACATCTTTTTGTTTTTAGCTCTATAAGGCTACACCCATGTGTACACAAACGTGCACGCTTAGGCACACACATGTACAAAATGGGCCAGAACATGAGTCATGACAAGCTGCTCTGCGTTTCCATAGGTGCACCTCAGCATAGTCACAACAATACAGAGCTCCCCAAAATGTGCTGCTTTAGACTTTTATCTCTGGCAGTGCAAAGCTGCATGAGCCATACGGATAAGAGGGGAGCTTGTGCTTTGGAGTAACCCAATCCCTTTCTTTTTGATGCATCTGCTGACAGGAGCACCGCCTGGTCCTCTTCTGGCAGGGTTGCTCAGTGGGATGGGGATTCTGTTCACCAGGACATGGGCAAAGCCATTATCCCTTTTCACATCAGACAATGGCATACTCCTTATGCTGCTATATTATTTCAGTTTTTTCATGTTTCTACTGACCACAGATTTTGTTTGTCATGTACCTCTGTGCAAAATGAGTGAAGGGTGAACAGAGAATCTAGAAGCACATGTGTCTACACTCCCTTTGTACTGATGCAAATGATGATGCAAAGTGAAAGGCAAGGGTAAATTATGTACCTTGGGGCAGGTTGTAAGCCTCTACAGGCAAAATTGATTAATTACTGACATAAACAGACTGATTAACTTAGTAAGATTATAATCAGGTCTCAAGCCTTTTGTTTGTACAACAGTAAATCAAAGGAAAGTGAAACGGCAGAAATTAGATTTGTATGTTTCTGTATGTCTGTATATACATATACAAAATACATCCCCACAGCACAGGCAGAAGGGAGGAATAAGTATCAGCCTATTGGTTTTCCTTATGTTATCAAAAGTGAAGACAAACCCGTGATTTATTTTCTATATTTTGGATGCAACCAGTCAATGTGTGCTGTGCAGCTGTGACATAAAACTTCTTTCAAAGAGGGCTAATACTAAAGAAAGATATTGCAAATATGTGACCTGTGCTCTGGTTTTGTAAAGTATTTTTCTAATTTCATCGCTCCAGGATAGAGCTTTATAACTTAAGCCAGAATCGTTGAAAAATGTTGCTACTTTGCTACTGCAGGCAAAATCTGTACAGAATAGGATTTATAATATATACAAACTCTCAGAGAGTTCCTTTAAACTTACGGAAACTCCTATAATACAGTTTTACTGAAGTCCAAAATAAGTCCTGGCCAAAGTTTTTGCTGAATATGTTGAATTCTAAAGCAGGCCTGGGTCTCAGCATGATTTTCCTACTGTCTCTTGAACAAAAACCACCTTATATTCGATGCAGGAGCATAACCCATAAAACATGCACAATAAGATGTATAGAAATCCATCTCTTCCAGCCTAATGAATTTAATCAAGATCAACAGTTGTGTGAGATCAGTTTTGGCAGAAACTTGTGCAGGTGCAGATTTCTATTGCTATTCAGTCAAACCATCAAACAGGAACTCCCTTGTGCTTGAATAACATCTACCTTTATCTCAGGCATTTTAATGAGTGAGCAGCATATGTTTTAGACACAGAACTATGCTGGATGCAAAGCACACACACCATGACAGACACTATAGGATTCATGGGGTAGGTTTTTCCTGAAATGTTTTGAAAGGCAAAACACAGGCTCCTGTCCTACAGCTGTCTCAGCTGTAGCTCTTGAATAACAAGGATTTTGCCTGGGCATAGAGGATATGAAGGCAGGAGAAAAGCCACAGAAACCAGTGTTTGTCTGACAACAATCTTCTTTCCCCCGTGTGGGTGTATCTGCATCATACTGCATCCAGTGGTGTTTGCACCAGCCAAGGAAGGCATTGGCAGACAGGTATCTCCCATTTTCCTCCTTCCTTTTGCCCTCCAGCACTGTCCTTACTTGCTATCAGCATTTTCTCACCACTATTATGTTATAGCTCAGCCTATTTTCCAGGTACAAGAGCAGGAGGTGAGGTTTTAGCAAAAAATGCCCCCATTTGTCTCCTGCTCCATCTTGCTTTTGTGGGGACCCCTCTGCACCCCAAATGTCCTAAGAAGTTAGGGCACTTCTCCAAAGGAATATTCCTGTATTGCCTGCTTAATGTTGACATCAGAAAACATAACACATGGTTTTCCCCATGCAACTTCCTTCCTGAGTGCTATGGCTCCCTCAAAGTAACAGCAAAGCACTCATTAGCTGAGCACACTCTGCCTTAGAGGGAAGCACAGAGCTGGTGCTGGCAGGCAGACACACCATGCTTGAGGCTGGGGACAGATCCAGAACCCAACAAAGCAGGTGGAAAGGTGGTCATTGACTATGGTGAGGTCTGGATCAGACCCCTGTGGAAAAATATGCTTGCTGTGAACTGTGTACAGGGAAATTCCATTTATAGAGGAGTCAAATGAAATGCTCAAATTGCTTCAATCCATGAACAAATTGCATTTCTACTTATAATGAATTTTGTCTTATAGGCCCCAGTCCAGTCAGGCACTTAAGGACCTGCATATCTTTTAGCCGATGAATAAATCTCTCAGAGGCAGTATGACTGGGCTACTGCATCTGGGCAGAAGTGCAAGTTTTTCAGTGAAAAATAAACAGGTTTTATTTATTTTACTCAGAGATATATGAAACGTGTAATTTTGCAGTAGCATGTGATTAAAAAAATCCTGACATTTTCAATTGTACATTTACTGCCTGTGTGTTTCGGAAATTAACTAACTTAGCTTTTAATATGTAACCATATAACTTAGTTCTTGGCACAGTTTCATCTTTTTTAGCTAATATTCTCCATTCATTTGCATGTGTCACACAGTTCAGCAAAAAATGTTTAGACATGTTACATTTTATAACATGTCTTGCTTAATAAAAAACATAAGAGAAAATTAAAACACAATTTCATTTTAAGCTGCTTGCAGACCACATCTTATATTGCCAAAATCACCTCATGCTGCTTTCATCTGACTTGCAACATTTTACTTCTTGTGTCTTAAATTGCATGTAATGACCATTTCAGAACTGTCTGATAGCTGAAGTTTCAGATTTAGAGATGTAACCTTTTTGCATATTTTTGTACCCCAACTGTGAAAGTAAACTTCAAAATCATTACTTTGGTTCATCCAAGTTTTTGAACTTCCCAGTGCTTGCTGCTATATAAAAACATAGATATGTATTTAAATACATGCTGCACTTTTCCTGCCCCAGACAGACATCTGGCTAGTTCCCATCTGCTGACTGTGACCTGAAGCATTTTCTTTTTCTCTCCCTCATTAGTTTGAGCTTTTGCTGAGGTTCAGTAGCACACATGCTGATCCATCAGTTGTTTTTATTGGCAAACAGGTCCATCATTAACAATCAGAAACTGTAGCATCTGCTAATTTAATAGGGAACCACATCCTATTGTACATTAGGTGTTTAGCAATGTGGGCATTTATCAAAACAATGATTAAGTGAAATACACGTGTGTAATATTAAGGATATTTTAGGCTATAAATAATGCATTGCAATTTCTCTTCATTTTTAAACAAACATAGGCATTTTACCACGGGGAAAAATTTGTCTAAATCTTTCTGGATAGTTTAACACTGGAAACCTTGGTCAAAACAATGCTTGTCTGTTAAAATCGTTTGCATGCCTTTTTATGCTGGGTGGGCTGCCCTTACCAGCAAACACAAAAGATCATGAAGGGTTTGAAGACTGCAGAACTGGTGTAGCGTATCTCAGTGGCATGCAGCCCACGTGGTCTTTTGCTTCCAGAAGCTCAGAATTGAAAAGTAATGAATTAACGTCATTCAGAAACACATTTTCAATACTTTAATGGCATCAGCAGCAGCACAAATTGCCCCATACTTAACGAATTCCCTTAGTGGAAAGAAAACATTTTTTTTTTAAATAAGGAGATTTCCAGACCAGGGATTTTTAACATGCATTTACTGGTTTCCAGGAGCTACCAGTATTCCCATTTAGATATTAGCATCACAGTGACAGATTCAGCTTTGTTAGATGACATGGGCATTCGTTAGTTGCAAATTGGTTTGTGGCACATCACTTAAAAGATAAACTCAAAACTCTGGGTTCAAAACCGGTGTTTTCTGTCAATCAGATGGTTTACTTACTCAATCCCAGAACAGCTGGTATTCAAAGAAAACAGGAAGTATCAACATGACTTGCCACAATTCAAGCTTTGACATAAAAGTTCTCCTAAACCATAAGAGCATGAGAAGCTGCAGGAAGCAGTGGAGATGCAGAGGCTGACAGTATCCCACCACTTTACACTGCAGCTGCTTGGGGGGAACAACAGCTGTCCTTGCTCCCAGGGAAGCGGCTCTGGGTACCTGCATCGCTTTTAGAAGCTCATGTATCAGGGTGTGATGAACAGGTACTGCATGCCAACTTTATTGAAACCTGTCTGCATTAAAAGAAAGAATGAAAGAAGTTTAATCAGAAAGAACTTAAGACCAAGCAGAGGCTGGATGAAAAGCTCATTGAATTAAATGGGAAGACTCCTGCTGGCTCACTGAGGGGTGGACTGTGTCCCAAATTCAGACCTCTGAAACTAATGCAAAATTTGTTTAGTTTTGTGCTTTTGAACATAGCTTTATTTTCTAAGCAGAGCCACAAACAGTTATGTGTCTGTTTCTGTGATCCTCTTCTCTTATGAAGTCATTCCAGCTCTTCTATCAGTAAACTTGTTGTAATATATTTCGTGCTTAGTCTTCAAAGAAATGTTAACATCCACAGATAAAAGGCTCTGTATGCTGTCCATGCCACAACTGTCACCAGAAAACCCAGGAATGATGACATGAGCAGATGATAAATATCCTGACACAAAAAAACTATTTTTCATAGGAGACATAAGCAAACCTTTGTTGCTGTCTCTATCTGTGAACCGAGGGACATATCCTCCCATGGAGATGCCTTTGGGCCGACTGAGCAGCCGATGCAGCTCGCTGGTGCCAGGTGACAGAGCAAAGCCCCTGCCCATGGTCTGATCCTGCCGTGGGGCACAGTCGAGTTGAGCTGGGAGAGCGCCGGTCAATGACTCTTCGCTGAAGGCATGCCATCCCCCACATCAAAAAGGCACCAGAAGCCTTCATATAGATCTGCACTGTATAATGGGCAGATTTTCGGCAAGGGCTCAGAAGACAAATGAAGCTTTTATCTGCTTTCCAGCCCTCTGCAATAGGAGTTTATGTTAAAGCCACTTAACCGTCTAGAGTGCAGCCCTGTGGATTACCTGTTTGTGTGAATCAAGTACATTACCTGATCACATGAGCGCCAGGGATAAGTCTTCTATAACTAGCTTTTCTTTGAAGGGATCTTCAGCTACTTTGGGATTCTCACAAAGAAGTGCCCCAAATGAGGCAGGATTAAGAACAAGCAATACTTCACTTTGGCTTGTGTTTCTCCGTCTTCGTTTATTTAGCTTTACCTGCTTACTTGGTCACTTATTTGTGTGTCATAACAGCAGGATGAGGAATAAACCTTCCAAAGTATAACCTTTACAGCTTCATGGGTTAAATATTATATAAAGAAGGGAGTGAGTGTGATAAAAGTGAATATCTCTTTCTGAACAGCAGTTCAAAAGACTTGGTAATTTTACAGGAGTTCTCAATTTAAATTGCTAGAGTTAAAATATTATTTTACCACACCTTTTTTTTTTTTCAACCATTAAAAATAATTAGCTCTGCAGAACATTTTAAAATTAAAATAACGATGAGGGATGTGTAAGCCATTTAATAACACTTAGAACGATACACCCTATTTCAGGAAATTGCACATGGAGGAGAAGGATCTGGGAAGGCTGAACACTTGAGTCTGTGTTTTGGGGGACTTTTCAGCTCTGTCCCTGCAGGCTTTGAGCTCACCCTTGTCCTGGGGTGCCTTCAGAAACTGCTTTACCACCCCTTTCTTCTCCACTGACAGGTTGGGATGTTGTCCCCTCTTTGCTGCTGAAAGCCACACCTCTGTGTGCCGTCACCATTATGTGTGGAGAGAACTTCCAGGGGCTGAGGGTCTCTCACCACCACCACTTCCACCAGTGCATCACCTGAAGACTGGACACTGACATTATCTACCCTCTCCCTGGTAATGTCCAGCAGCCCATCCTTCTGGAGTGGTAGCCATGCTACTGTATATTGAAGGACACTATTTTTGCTTTGAAAACACCAGTTTTCTTTTGTTTTGCAACTGCTCCAGAGCGGTTATGAGCACTCAGCAGCCTCTGGTTGCCTGTGAGCCCATTTTCCTCTTGCCAGGAGCTGCAAAGTAAGACAATCACTCTCAGTCCCCTAACAAGATGTGTTAGACAAGTGGCAATGTGCTGGTCAGGAGTGGAGCTGCTCAGACCAAAGCCCCCAAGACCTGTGAAAAATAAAATCTGAGAGAAGGAATTACTAGGGTCAAGCTGCTTTTCCCACCACAAAAGCAATGGAAAGCAAAAGAAGATACATCATAATCCTGCTATGAGGTTATGAGCTAAAGAGTTTGGAGGGAATATTTTTGGAGGAGGAAAGAATTTTCTGATCAGAAGGCTTTCCTCCTTTAGTGACCAGTTTAAGGTGGCTTTTTAATGTTGCTTTAAATCTGAAAACTGTCTGCCATCTGAAAAGTGACTCCAGCACTGCGCCTGCTGCCTTGTCTGTGCCGAGTGGATGCCTTATGCACACGAGCCCATTTTTCTTGGAAATGCATTACAGGTTTTACTTCCTTGTCGTGCTGTTCTAATAAATTAAAAGTCCATTCTGACTGCAAGACAGTACTTCTGTATGGAAAATAACATAACTTATCACTCATCACTGGTAATAATACTCTGCCTGAAGACATTCCTTTGTCAAGCCTGTTGTTGATCAGTTTATGCCCTAAAGGATTATACTTATGACTCAAAATAATGCAATTTCAGATGATATTTTTATTTATAAAGGTACAATCTACCTTTGAAAGAATCTGAACTTCTTTATCGTTACATCTTTTGACAATGAGACACTTTCTTCTCAGAGCTAAGTAAAGCCAAACTCCATATTGACAGCATGGACTGGCTGCAACAGACAGTGAGCAGGGCAGAAGGACAAATGGACAGAAGGAAGACTGAGGAAGCATGTTACACGCCCCTTACTTGCTCTTTGCCGCATAAAATGACACACAGCTTCACTACAGTGTTATCCCCCAATTTTTCTGTAGATTTTTGTATTTACTGATTTTTGTACTTACTGCAATTAAAATAAAAACCCCTCTGTCCCATTTTCAGCATTTCCCTCTTACTTGCTCTGAGATAAATTAAGAAAAAAAAAGAAAAACAACTAACCATCCAACTACTTTTTTCTTACGTTGCTTATAAATACTGCTTATTCATTAACTTTTTTCTCTGAGAATAATGTCAAGTTATTTGGTTGTATCTCTTTGACTTAAGTAAATAAATAAAGAATCTTTTCCTGAAAGTTTGTGGTTGCATGGTATAATTAAATAGAAAACATTTGGCAAGTTTCGCTAAACAATGACTGTGCTTCCAAATGCTGGTGGTATAAATCAAACTAAGGAAAACACATCATGTTTGTTCATTTCATGAGGACAATGAGGGCCTTATGGTTTTATTTTATGCTTGGATTTAGCCTTAATTATTTTAATTTTGTACAAAGAGGATGACCAAACCTGAAAAGTTCTGAAAAGACTTTAGCTTTGTTAATTACATTTGTAGAAAAGCCGAGCTGGGGCCTTTAACCACACAGTTGGCACTTTGGCAATGAGACGAGATGAGAATAAAATGTATCTTTGTACTAAATAGCCCGCATCTTATTCTCAGAAACATAACTACAGTTGTGTAAAATCTATAAGATACATGAAAGCAAAAAGGGACTTTGCAGAGCCACGTGTCCAGAGCTTTTTGTGAGTCACTTCTGATTTGCACACAGACACATATGTGCTAGGTACTTGAGTTTGCAAAAGTAGATGCTGACTTTGGGCCCCATTTTGTGAAGATCAGGCCCTTAGTATTGAGTTAATATAGAAAGAGTGAAAATCTACAGACAAAACAAAGATTAGAGCTTGAAATGCACCACTTCTCCCTGCAGAAAGAGTCTGCCAGAAAGCACAGTAAATTTAGTCACAGTACAATGCCTATTACTTTCAGCGCATGATTAAAGCTGCTTTCTCTTGGACCACACACACATGTAGTCTGTCCCCCTCTTGGGAGAACTGTCTCCTTCTGCCCACGGCCCAGATGAATTATAGTTACAATCACTTTGAAGATTTATTGAACACACAAAGGGGCAACCTGAAACAATAATGGTATTTCCCTGAAATGCATCCCTTCTCAATGAAGGCATTTTCTCAGGAATATGTGAGACATGATTACAGTTTTCCAAGACAATGCTCATTATTACAAAGCCATTTCAGAAAGAACTTGAATTTCTCATTGCTCTAAATCCCATGACTTTACAGCCTGGTGCAAAAATCCTGAGGAAACGGTGTGGGAAACTGCAGAGTGATAGTCCCTCGGTGATGTTTTCTGGCATTGTGAATTTGCCTCTGTGACATGGCAGAAATTGTCTGCAGTGTCCCCACCCCAGCTGCACACTGCCTGTCCTCTCCCCCTTGGCTGAATAGATATGTCCATTAGGGAATTCTGTGCATGATCTCTTTTCCCTGGCGAGTCACTGGCAGATTTTTAAACATTGTGCTTTAGATCCGGGCTTGTAGTAGTAGTGTGTTTACCAGCTGGCTGTCTAGGTAATTGAAGTCTGGGCTAGGTCACCCACCTAGGGACCCTGGCTCACCTCACATTCTTTTTAACCCAGGCTGGAAATCATCCTCTTTGCGGCAAGGAAGGTAATTCTACCATGTCGGTGTTGATAGTTTGTACTTATCTGCAGAAGCTACAATCACCTGAGAAGAACTGCAGCACAAGATTCATGTAGGAAGGATGCTGCCAGCAGACCTGGGCAGATGTATCATACCATGGGACAGCGGGGATAAGACTTTACCATGGAGAATCCTTGGCTTGTCGTATCTGCATCCTGTTCCCCCAACTTAGTCCATTGTGGGCACTGATTTGGCTATGGCATGCTTTGGGAAACTGTAAGAGCAGCCCTGTAAAAGCTGGATCACCTCCAGTGAGTTGCGCAGGTTAAGAAAAAGCTGGGCAGTCCTGGAAGCTCTTGCTACTGATTTTTATGAAATATGATAACATACAACAGCAGTCTATAGGCTTTTAATAAGTTTAAATGAAGTTTCTTCTAAACATCAATTTTTCTAACTTTATTTGAGATGCTTCTTCATATTTTGCAAGTAGATCAAACCCCATCATTTGTAATTTATTTCCAATTAAAAAAAAAAAAAAGAGAGAAAGTATGTATTTTGAGAGAAGTATTTGCTTTCCATGGAAAATTTCAATACTTATTTAGACCAAAAAGGAAAAGGCCTAAACCTGAAAAGATTCTGCATTTTGATCAAAAATATTTTGTTTTGTATATGGTGCCACAGGGCCTCATGGGAGATGTGGTTTGGTTGCCTCATGTCTCCATCCAGTTTAAGGGACAGAATCCTGGCCAAAGGACCTGTTTCAGTGTGTATTACTTCAGCTCCTGGTAAGTTCCTTTCCCTCACCTAGACCCCTGTTTTGCAGGGCAACCTGCTCACAGCAGATGATGGATGCATGTGGCATTAAGGTTACAATTCTTACAAGGTCCCATGGCAGAGTTTCTTTTTCACTATTTGGTGTATTCAGTGGAAAATGCTAAGGTTTTCATTTTTTCAGGTTTTGATTTTTTTTCTCCCAAGAATGCTAAACTATTCCTAGGGGAAATAAAAATAACATCTCAACAGTTTCAGTTAAAAGTCTAACAGGTTGACTTCACCCAATTTTCTATATATTTGGCCTTTATATGTAGTTTTTTCTGAATTTTGACATATGTTTTGGTAACTGATTGAAGTCAGCTCTTGGGCGTATCCCAGGCATCCCAGGAGAGCAGGTGATGTGTATCAAACCCTTTTGGTCCTGTTCCTGTAGGCTGTGTTTGGAGTACCTGCACGCAATCCCCAGTTGCCAGGAGGCATTGGGTATTGTCCTGAGGATCGAACCAGTACTGTAGTAATGATTAAAGTGTGCCCACTATAATCCTACATCAGGGTTGAGCTTAGTTCTCTGTAAAAATATTTTGACAGAACAGACATGGTATTTGTTTTAAAGTAAAACAATCTTAATACAGAAACTGATGTAATGAATTAATCATTAATATGTTTATGATCTTTAAGTTACATGTTAACATTAAAAATAAATGTTTACATTAAACTGTTTATGCTATTTAGATAATGTTTACATTAAAAGTAAAATGTAAATAATGTTAAAATATCATAGTTTATTGCAGTAAATTCACTTATTTGCAGAAGAACTTTAAAATGGAATTTGAGGATTTCTTCAAGATTGTTTACAATTCTCATCCATTTATATGTGTACTTCTTATATTTTGATTGCAACTACTTTCAGTCTAAATAACCAGACGTCCAATAATCAGATGGCATATTTTGTGGAATTATATTGAGTTTTCAGATGTTAGTGAGTTTGTAGGATTTGTACAGAAGACCTTAGTGTAGATGAATTCTCTTCTTGTGGGGTGCATAGAAAAGAGGTACTGGAATTACCAGCGATTTCTGTGTTATTGCAGCAGCATCCCACATCACTAGGGTTATGTGGCCACCGCGTGGTCATATAGGGGAAAGTTAAACTGAATTTTCACTTGCTGCATCTGATTTTTCTGGAAATGACTTGCAGAAGTGCATACATTTGTTTCCTCAAGGACATTTCTTGAATAATCTCCACTTCATTTACAGAATTAAGTCAATTAGATCAATTGCAACACGTGAGTCACATTACATGAATGATCATTGCAGTGGGATTTAATCTGTCTGCCTGGAAACCAAATTACTTTAGGGGAAAAGAAAAAATCCTGGGTAATTTCCAAAAAAAAACTGATGGGTAAACAGACAAACCTGTACCTGTACCTGAATTTATAGACAGAAAATAATGTCATTAAAAAGAAATGGAAAAAACACATCTGAGTTTGAGTCACTATATAGTTTAACGGAGAGCTGTTTGTCATCTCTCAGGAGTAACAGATGAGCCCTGGAGAGTCAATTCCTTCAGCTCCAGGAAACAACTTCATTCATCTTTTTTTTGTGTAAGAGAAGTCCAGTTTCTAAATTCTTTTGGATGAACACAAATAGTGATGTTAAGGAAATACATGGTGATTTGTTTTTCATACAAATGGTAACTAATATTCACAATTGCTTTTACTATTCAGCAGCTGGGAGTGTGGGAAACAAAGTAACTGAACATCCTGCAGGGATCCAGGAGTTGGAGGGTGAAGGCAGAAAGGTTGAGCCTGCAGTGTCTTTTCATGACCTGATTCTCCACGCCACCAGTACCATCAAACATACAGGCAACAAAATTGGTCCGGCATCAAGCAGGAAGAAATTTCTCTGGATATCCAGTTAGAAATAACGCCACAAAGTCAAATGGGAGTTGGAATTATTTTCTTGCTGCTCATGGTTTACACCTCAGTATTATTCCATTAGGCTCCATTAAGATGCTTTAGCATCTTAACCATGCTTTAACCTAGATTTGAATTATTCCAGCTATATCTAGAAATACTAATTCTTGTTTTGTGCCCCAAGTACAGATGTGCTCTGCTGCACCAGCAAACTTCCTCTGGGCTATCAGTGTTCTCTGAAACTATTTCTCCTTTGTGTTGGTTTGCTGTTTTCTTGCTTGATTTCACAATAGTGAAGAAGAAATGTCCAGATTTCCATTGCCCTAAGTCTCCTGTGTTCAGGGACACAGGTCCTTGAAGCAGAGTTAATAAAAGGCCAAAGGAGAAAAGTTTGCATGAGCT